TGCTGCGCGGGTACCGCCTCGGGATGTGAACGCATACCTCATTCAGTTGCTATATAAACAGTGAGTTTCATATAATATCACATTTGAATGTTATCAAAAAGGTTTTCTCTAGCTAATCTTGTCAAATTTTCGGTTTGTATTATAGCGGGCTGGTCATTAATTAGAATTACGCCATCATCGATCTCCTCAATGGCGGGCACGTGATCGGTGGATTTGTATTTGCAATTTGCGTAGCGCTGGTTCAGTAGTTCTCATACACAGGGACTTTCTTTCAAGGGCTGGCAGAAGTTTGCTATTATGCTCTTGCAATATAAAGTGGGATGTATTCTCCGCTGCATTCAGCCATAAGATTCGTTTCCAAGGAAATAATCTTTCCTTCCTGGATCACGGGCAGCAACTTTACATTATTACAAATTCTAGCTATTTTTGGGTATTTAATAATGAAATAAATAAACTGTGTATTTTGAAATATCTTAAATTTAGAAACAGAAAGTATGTCAGTTATACTAGTATTTGTAGAGAGCTCAGCAGCTAATATATTACTTATTTCCAAGCCATTAAGCAGAATGGGGTTAATAATATTTACTTTTGCTAAAGCTACTGATGTAATGATGGTTTCTAATTGCATTATTACCGCTCTATTTCTAGTGCTGACCAAAGAAAGAGATTTCCCGTGTCGATCTGCGTCCGTTTTGCCTGTGTTAAAAGTTTATTAACCGTCACCGTCAGCTCGTTAATTTGCCTCTGGGTAGCTAGATTAATCATTGACTGTTGTTCATTTGCTTCTATTAGGGCTTCGGCTCTGGTCTCAATTGTCTGAAAGTCGTCAAAGTCCGGAGTGCCGGTTATGATTTTATGCATCCCTAAGATATTAATACCTCGCGCATCGCGGTGATGTATCTTGACCGCGTCGAGTAGGTTTTAATATTTCGTCAGCGTCGTTTCGGAGAAGGTTGCTCATGGGAAATTGGAATTGTTCTAATATCGTGTCCGTCTCTTCGGCTATCGCCTCGAATTCTGACAAGTTTGTCTTGTGGAGTAAAACTCATAATGTCGTGGACGATTACTTTTCCTGTTACTACCGGATGTAATGAGAGCTGGTATAGTTAAATCCTGCGTTAGCCCAATGGTTCATTATCAAGAGCAGAGTTACCTAAGGAACGAGAGTACATTTCAGTGTTTAAATTGATTTTGTGAACTTTACGTCCATCGGTTAAAACATAGGTGCCCAAATCGCTCTGGACTATTTTTCGGATGTAAAGTTTAGTGATTTATTTCTATTTCTTATGTGGTCTTTACAAAACCCTTTCCCCTGGTTTATATGTTCTTGTTTGTCTTTTTATTTGTGCCTTTTTAAGTCATTTATTGGGTACACTATAAGTCTGTTCTTTATTCATTAACTAGTTCGTCCGGAATTGCGTGGATGATGTCTATAGGTTTCTGTTGTCACGGACATGAATTGTACGGTTGTACTTAGCCGTTGCTAGCAGAATTAATTCGGCCGTGTCGGAAATGCAAGTCTCGAGCCTCTGGCAGCGTGCAATTTCCGTAAGTGTACTGTGAAACCTTTCCCTGTGCGTTAAGTCGTACTGTGAGCCGGTGGTGTGGTGTAGATCGTGACACCGAAGTGGTTTTTTAGGATCGCTTTAATATTTTCAGAATTCAGTTGACCTCTCGTTATCGACAACCAGAACTTTAGGTTTTTGTAAAAGTTGAGGAGTTCATAGATTGGTTCCTTAATATCTACTATGGCTCTAGATTTTATTGGAAAAACTATTGCAAATTTAGAGAATTTATCTATAGTTGTCAGGAAATGCGTTTTGTCTGTTGAATAAATGTCCACGTGAAGGATTTCTCCTGGGTACGAAGGTATGGGAGTTGATCCTATCTGGGTTGGGGGATTGTCGTTGGTATTTTGTTTCATGACATATTGGCAGTTTGAAGAGCTATTTCCTTTAGCCACTTTTCTTAAGTCAGGAAAGTAGCAATTTTCTGATCTGCCTGTTCATTTTCGCGACAAGATCTATGTGCACGATTTATGCTCGATTGGAGTTTCTCTGGTCTTCTTTATTAAAAACATCGATAAACCTAGTTTTCTAGTTTGGCGGAACCCCTGGAAAGGATGTGGCAAGGTCGTCTTTGATTAGTGCCAAAGTAGGAGTTCGCATAGCAACCCGTAACGACGTTCGGATTAAAACACTTGTTTTCATGGGATTTCAGTAAATCCTGTAGGTTTATTTAAAATATATTTGATGCCTCCTTGTTGTCTAAATAGGATTGACGTCTGGTTAACGGCAATTTGGCACCCTCTTCCAGAATAATCTAGCTTAAAACAATTAATGGGTTTTTTTACTGTAAGTATTTGCTTGAGTAAGTGATAACTCCAGCTATGGTGGCCATCTTTCTGTGTCTACCTCGGTGAATTCAACTGCATTTATGTGTTGCCGGAGAGTGCATCAGCCACAAGTTTTCTATTACCTGAGTTTGGTAGGTGAAACTTTGTGTGAGTACTCCTCGACAAAAGCGCGCATCTTTTCATCGTTTGCATCTTGGGTATTTATCAGATAAAGCGAAGGTGAAGGGCTGTGATCTGTATAATGTTTAAGTGTTGACCTCCGAATTAGTTCGCATAGTTTTATGTAGGGCCCTACGATCGCCAAGAGCTCTCTTTCGTGGTCGCGTAGATTTTCTCTGTCGGAGACAGAGTTCTCGAGATCAATGTGAAGTCTGCTATTTTGTGACCAAAACGGCGCCTATGCATGCTTGAAAATGGCGTCCTGTTGTTAAGCAAAAGGTTGTTTGTTAGTCAGGGTAAAGGAGCAATACGTCTTCTGATGCAAGAATTCAACTTTACCAAACGCGTTAAGTGCTTCTCGTCTAGAGTTATTTCTATTTTTCCTGAGATTGGTTAGCACTTCTGCTTGTTCCCATTTTCTTCCACGTAGGTATTTCTTTGGGTTTCGGTAATCCCCGATAGTCTTTACGGACCGGAATCCGTCGTAATTAGCTGCTAACCCCAGATGGATCGATAAGGCTCTCAAGGTTTTGGGAACGCGAAGTCCAAATATCCTGACTTTATCGGGGATGTCCAAAATACCCTCTTTAGACACTGTAAAGCCCAAAATTCGACACTTTTTTTAAAAATTTTGACTTGTCGCGCGAGAGATAAGTTTTGTGTGCTTACCTGTAATTGTCTTCTAGATGTGCCGGGCATTTTCCGAAAATATTATGACATCATCACATAGCGTGACATATTTTACCGATTTCTTCTCTTAATACGTCATCAATGGCCCTCTGAAAATGCTGGGCGCATTTTTTAGGGCCAATGGGAGCCTTACAGACTCGTATTTTGCCTTATTTTAACCCAGAATTGCCATTTTTTCTCGATCCTTTTTCAGCTAGCTTAATTTGGTGGAGCCGGACTTTTGAGTCTATTGTTGAAAAATAAACCTGGGCATTCAATGTTAGCCAAAATTACGCGAAGTGTCCGAATCGTATTCATCCTTGAGTAAACTGGCAAGGTTCATCGGTGGTCCTGATTGTTCCTATACTATTGGTATTTTAACGGTAGAGCCTTTCGTTGTGAGTCCGCTGAAACTTTAGCTGTTCGCTTGCAACAAGCGGGAATGTTCCAACTTGCCACGTTATGTTTCAATAATTTATTAACATCCGGGCAATAGTGATTAAAAAAGGCTTTTCCTGTCCCCTATAACTAGAAGTCCGTTTTTACAAAAATCTACTTTTTACCGTTCACTCGAGTTATAAAGTCAAAACCTATTGGTTACCGTAGCTGCCGGTAAGATAAGGAATTTAGTTTTTTATTTAAAAATGTTGATTTTGTCCCTAAAAAATTCAACATTCATTCCTTTATTTCGCTGGTATAGCAACTTTGATTACATTCTGCTAACCCTCGCTATGACTAGTAATTTCATAACTAGCGTATATTGTATTCTTCCTTCCAGTCGTCTGTTCCTGGGTAAGGTTTTTCCTTTGTACTTGTGTAATGCCTGCGGCCACTCCCGTGTGGTCTTTTCTCTGGCTTTTCCCTGCCTAGAGAAGCTGGCCTTTGCTTTCGAAGGTCTGGATGGTATTTCGGATTTGGGTAGCCACTTCGAGTTGCAATATTTGGATGAGGAGCCCTTGGATAGGCTCCTTGATGGAACCTCCCCACTATTACCCTTTATGGCTGGGGTCTATTGTCTAACCTTGAGAGCGATGGGTCTACATCCATTGATACGACCTTTGTTCCTTGAGGCCATAAAAGATTGTTGGTCAGTCCGAACCGTTCAGGTACTTGTGGTAAATACGGAATTGGCTTGGCTCTGAATGTCTGCCCCCTGTTAAAAGTCTGGGGCAAACATGGACC